TGGCAGCTGATGAGATGCTGCTGCATTCCAGCTGCAGGACAGTAGGATTATATCCATTTCGCTATTTTCTCGTCTAGACGCGTTAATCTCAGCAGGGACGCTGCTGGGAATTAAGAGTTGTGTTAATTGGGTTTAGTACAGGGCTGCCCAACCTACAGACCGCGGTCCGGATCCGGTCCGCGAGCTCCCATCCTCCGGACCGCAGACTGAGATGACAATTTGTCCGGCATTTCCCAGACAGCCCTGAATTTCGAATTTCTGTCCATATCAATCTTGAATCGAAATTCAATGCAAGGTTTACCCAGATAATCTTGTGTTTCACCGAATTCGACTGTCATTTGTGCTCTCTAATCGTCTAAATTTTCCCATTTCTGATCATTGAATATGGGTTTTTGTAATTTTGCGTGAGGAAAGTGCCATGATTACCTTGTGCGGCACGCAGAGGTGTGCGCAGGCACAGTTCTGTGGTGCTTCAGACCACGAGTGACAGCTAGAATCCTAAATGGTAACGGACTCATGAATCAGTTCATAGGGGCCTGTGGCAACGCAAAATGTAAAGTTGTGTTCTTCTCCAGTACGCGTAAAGAAAAAACCACAGCAGCTGGTTAAATACAGGTCAGAGTAGGAATAGCTTCACGTTTCTTTAAATCCTACCACAAGAGGGTTCGCGAGGTTTTACAGCTCGCTAAAGGGTCCTTTCCCTTTGGGTCATTGGATTGATTACGCATGTGGAACTCATATTTTATATCGGACGGAATTCTCTTGAAATTTTCTCGAAACAGAACCGAGGTTCGACTTCTCAGACAGAGCCTCATGTGCAAGTCAAAAGTCGATATTCCTACTAGGCATTCATTGCCTAGTGCCTCAATGCCTCGAATCACTACTGTTGTGAACGGTTACACTGTGAATCAAATCTCGGTTGAGTTCAACGAATTTCCAGTATCCGAAAGCACAGGGCTCAGTCCAGAAATTTGAATTGTCTTCCCAATGATTCCTGTTTCTGACAGGTGTTGGAGCTTTCCCCATTTTTTAAAAAAAGCTTTCTGGATTCTATCCCCTGCCCTTCTTCTGCGTTGGCAGGAGGCAATAATGGTCTCAAAGCAGGGAAGAAGTTCCAAATGTCTCCATCCTATTTTGAAAAAAAAATCCCCTCCTCATTTGAGTTGCAACCACACCCCCCCCCCCCCCCCCCCCCCCCCCCCCCCTTTCGGAACAGCATTGGTGTTGCCCTTGAGAATCTCCATACCCTGGACTTCAGGTCTAAACTCAGCATAAATAATTTTTCTTCTATTTAACTCCAGTTGCCCCCCCCCACCGATCCTCAAATTTCGTGGACGTGGCTCGTCCATCCCAAAGAAATAACCTAAAAACGACGTTAGCTGATACTGAATGCCTCCTCTCGCAGAAGGAGTTTTACTTCCGGACCGCGACACAGCCGAGACAACACTTAAAAGGACTTCCCCACCAAATAGTTGAGCACCCTTGGTTTAGTACCTCGCCATATGTCTCGCCTAGTCTCATTATAGGAATCAATAAACGCGGACATTTCATCAATTGTTATCCACTTATTCAAGACAGATTCATGAAGCTCAGGCCATAAACAAATTCATATTCCAGATGAGAATCCTTATGAAAGACGAGAGAATTTCATCAAAAAGGAAATCCGAAATATAGAGGGAGCGTCCGTGAACTCAATTCCGTCATTTCTTCATCTCCACAGCAGGAGGAAAAGAAGGACTGCTATTGTGGATAGTTCATGGAACTGTGCGAGGTGGTCCATCCTCTGACACGTACTGTAATCATTACAGCCAGGGGAAGATCCACATCTGTACTGCCCTAAGTCTCCTACATATCGAAGGCATATATACTTGTCCTTGATAGGTTGTAGTACATAGTACAAGTTCCGTACTTCAGATGGGAATACCTCCACTGGATAGGGAATTTAAGTAAATGGTACGAAATGATGATGACACATAAAAAACCAGCTACTTGGGTAAGTGGGTTATACGTTGCTATCCAACTTACTGCCAACGTTGACCCCACGTTGACCCAACGGTCACTTTCACGTGGGGCCTACGTGAACAACCTACGTTGGGCCAATGTATCCTGACTTTGGAGGACCACGTTGGGTCAACGTGGGCCCCACGAAAAATGTTATCTGGGATGTTCCGTTATCGGAAATATTTTTTACCGTATCCCTAGTCAATTTTCATCTTTATCTTTTCCCAATAATCCGATACTCATTTTTTTTCAAATGAGTTTTAAGAAAATCGGAGGGTGCGAAAGTCATGCAGAAGCCCTTGATGAAAACTCGTACGTACTTGCGGATGAATCGGGAGTTGACTTGACATGTGCCAAAGGAGATCCGAATCAGGAGCTGAATACAGTGATAGCTTTACTAGTCTGTCAATTGAGTTCTGCAGCATGTGATTATCTCCTGCTGAGTTCTTAGTTTTTTCCCCATTCACGAGCCTGAATCTTTCCAAAGCCCATCTATGGCACTTCATGAGTGTCAGTCAAGTGAAAAATATTGGAATATTTTGATTTCGTGCTAGGCCTAAACATTAGCCTACGGTAGGCCTTCGAGGAATTAACTCAGGATGAACAAACCCTGTCTCCGTCTCCGTCACAGGTCCTTTTTTCGTTGGGCCTATTTAGGCCTAGATCAATAACTTGGAAAAATGGCCATCAGTATCAAATCCTGGCCAGTAATACACATTTTCTTGACTTTTACCTTTTTCGTGTCGTCACTTTTCATCAATTTCATCCAGCTTCTTGTGTGGATTTTCATTCGGCCATGGAACAAGTGGTTGTATCGCAAGGTCAACTGTTACCTTCTCTATGGCATCTGGTCACGTAAGTTTTTGAGGAGTATTAGAGGTTTACTATGTTCGGCATATGATAGCTTTATCACATTCAGTATATTGCTTTGGGCTTACCCCTGCCATTAGGCAAGGTCTAGCTGTCTAGCTTTTCCAACATGCATTTCTTGAGTCTGTTATAATGGGAGACAAAAATATCCCTAGGATGAGCACTGCTGATGTTCAGTGCCCAGTTTAAAACCCCAACTGGAATATTCCAGCTGGACTAAATCTGTAATTTTGGACCATTTCCAGTTGGCAAAGAGCTGGAAAATAGTAGATGCTGGTTGGTAGATGCAGCTGCGATTTTCCAACTGTATGCAGCTGGTTTTAATAACTGTTTTCAGCTGGAAATTTCCAGTTAGAATTTCATACAGAGGACCCAACAGCTGGAATACAGCTGAATTTGCAACTGAAATTCAGCTGTTTCTGTAGATGAACCTCTGACAAAAAAATTCATCAAAAAGATTCTCATTCAGCTAGTGATATTGCAACTAGGAACCAATATGGATCTGACTACTTTCCAGCTGCTATCCAGTTGGATTGGGTCCAAATTTACAGCTGGGATCCAGCTGGAAACTATAGCTGTTTCCAGCTGGGATGTTAAGCTGGGCGGATGTCAACATATCATCAAAAATTCTGCTGGCAGGCTATTTCACATAAACTAATTTCTTGGTTTGAGTTTGCAAGGCTAGGTAGCTCCATGACATCAACAGTGAAATGAGGACAGGCATAAACCTAGCTATTTCTGTCAGCAGCAGCATAGCATGAGGGGGGGGGGGGGGCAGAAGTGGCATGCCCTCCCAAAATTTTCAAAATAAATGGCAAAAAAATATTAGGAAAAGACTCATGAAATGCATAACAGTATCCCAGAGTTTCTGGTCCCCCCCCCCTCCCCATCATCTTTTTTTGTCCATGCTATGTTGATGTCTTTTAGTATTTCATTCCAGGTTCAAAGTGATTGTTTTTTCCTCCTGTTATTTCCTGTAAAAAATTGCTGAATATCAGTGGTTGCTTATCTTATGCTACAGTAGTGGATCATCAATGGAGGGTAGGCCTGGGCATACCCTGCCTCCATTGTAAAACTACAATTGCTGCATTTCATAAGACACAATCAGTGAAGATTAGGGGACGATGTTTGAATAATTCCTTTTCAACATAAGAGGTTTATTAGTTTCTGAAATACTCCAATAGGTATTCTAAATAATTCTGCTCCAGGAAATATGAAGTGTAGTGAACTTTACTCATAACTACTAGCTTAACCTTTCTTAGAATAGACTCATAAGTTGCTGTCAATACATTAAATGTAATTGTTATGCATACAATGTGAATGAATGTTAGATGCCACTTCTGATTATGTCATTAAATTGATCCCACATTGGCCAAATGGTTAGGGATGTAACCACATGACATCCCAGATATATATTGACCATCTTTCTTGAGGCTATATGTTTTTTTATATCTACTATGGAACAAGACAAAGTGTATCTCAAAGGTATCCTCTGAATATTGAATGGGAAAAGCTTTGTTTGAAGAATGGACACAACTCATGTCCTACTGAAACTTTTTTGCTGTTTCTTGAAGCAGATTCAGAGATCTCTCACCTTCAACTTAATTCTCATGGTTGCATCTTGAAACATAGGCTTACTCCCTAGAAATCCTAAAATCTTGATGGCTGATGGAGTCACAGAGGTGGCATTCAAAGTGTTAATGAATTAGCCAGAAAGTGGGACCATGCATGCTGAAGTTTTGATGATCATGCTACAGTTGTGACTCTTTATTTTTAATTTCAGAGTTGGTGTTTCTTGCGGAATGGTGGAGCAAGTCTGAAGTGAGGATTTTTGCATCTGATGAGACCCTGCGTCATGTTGGCAAGGAGCATGCCATGGTTATTATGAACCACTCATATGAGTTGGATTGGCTTATGAGCTGGCAAGTCTGTGATCATTGCACAGTGCTTGGAGTAAGTTTTTTTTCTTTCTGACCAGTCATATGTTAAAATCATTTGGAGAAGCCTTAAAAGCAGTGTGGATTTAAAGTATGGAATCAGGCAGTAGTTGACAGTTTGTTTACAAGTTAAATTAAATATAAGTTCTCTATAATAAGTTAGACACTAATGGATCCATATATTGTCTATGTATGGCCAACCTTCTCATCAGTGCATTCTGGCAGCAATTAGGATCTTTGCCTCAGATGGCAGCTGATTCTACAAGTGCCACAAGGAAAGTAAGTCAGAGTCCAAAGCGTGTAAGATACTCAGATCCTCCACTACAGCATGTGGGCCTATAAAACTTTGTTTCACCTTTTTTTCTGTACAGTTCCTGCCTATTCACTGATCATCACCAATGTCAGCAACTTGATTCCCTTCTCTCAAGTTTTTCCATCTTATCTAAACAAGCTATATTTCTATTTATTCCAGAAGCATGCAAGGCAAGTTATGCACATGCCAGTACACTTGAGTGTGATATTCTTTTGGAACTGAACCATCAATGAAATTATGAATTAGGAATAGATCCAGTTTTTGAAAGTAGGTCCAATGGGCCTGAAGAAAACTTAATAAAATAAATTAACTTTGTCACATGGAAGAATAAGCATAAATACTTATAATGCCATGCATGCTTAACCTATGAAAAGAGTTTTCAAGCACTGCTATATTTATTTTTCACTTTACATTGCTTATGTTATCATTAGTCCTGAAGGAGTTTGAGGATTCATAATTTGAGATCCCCATGAGTTAGCTCAGATCCTTTTGTAGTGAGGGCATGGTTGAACTTGGTTATATTAATGTCATCATATTGCAGCAACATTTTGATTTCCAGATGACCTCTCCCCTTGTCTTTTAGAATGCAAAGGTGTATGTGAAGAAGATGTTGAAATATGTACCCATAATGGGATGGGCATGGGTATTTGCTGAGATAGTCTTCCTGGAACGGAAGTGGGAACAGGATCACCTCACAATTGCTTCCCAACTTGATATCATTGCTGAGTATCCTGATCCCATATGGGTCCGTTCTCTTTCATTCATATTCTCAGGTTCAAGAATTTCTTGTAGGCTTATGATTAAAAAAAAGTGTGGAATCTTTCATTACAGCTGCTCCTGTTTTGTGAGGGGACCCGCTTCACACCTGAGAAGCATGCAGCGAGCATGGAAGTGGCCAGACGCAAAGGCCTGCCTGAGTTCAAGCATGTCCTCCTCCCCCGGACCAAAGGCTTCCTCTTCTCTGTTGAGCAGCTTAGGGTGAGCTGAGTGGCATGGCTTTTTTTTTCTTTTTTTACCTTTTCTTTGCTCTCTTTGTTCATAATTTCATCTGGTGTGTAGTAACTATAAATATGGATATTTCATGTGGAAGTGCCATGATGGTCAATAATCCATCATATATAAGCTTGAAGTGTTTCATTTATAAATAGTAAAATGATTAAGGTTGTAAATTGCTCTCAACAAGGTGATCAAATTTTCAGAACCAGTTAACTCCTGTTCTGACCATATTGAATGTTGAAATGGTAGAGCATGTATGAAGAAATGTTATGCCTGTACTTGATTTAATAGGGGAAACTTCCAGCCATCTATAGCTGCACAATGGCCTTCAATAGGACAGAGGGAGCAGAGCCAACTGTGATGAGTGTGTTAAATGGGAAGCATGTTGTGTGTGAGGTTTACTTTGAGCGAATTCCTCTGGAAGAAGTGCCAGAAGATGAGAAACAGGCATCCAAGTGGCTTTTTGATCTCTATGCCAAAAAAGTAAAATTTCTTTCTCTATTACATTGTCTTAAGACTAGAGAAGAATGGAATAGAGTCAATTATGGTTCTTCATGCACAGGACAAGCTTTTGGACAGCTATTACAAGACAGGGAGCTTCACAAAGACAAGTGGATATCCAGAGATGCCACTGAGTCTAATGAAGTGCAGAATCTACTCTCTCCTCAACATCATATTTTGGAATGTCCTTGTCCTCATCCCTGTTTTCATTTTTGTGTTCAATATTATTTGCAATGCATCCTCCATCAGCATTGTGATCACCATATCTATCATGATCTTAGGTACCATTCCTCTCCACTTAAGCCCATATGTGTTACTTCTGACCTGACATGAGTTTTTTTTTTCAGTGTATTTGGCAGTGAACAAGATGATCCAGCTGACAAAAGTGAGCCATGGGTCATCTTATGGCCAAGTTACAGCATCCTCTCAATCATCCAAAAGTGGCTCCTCTCTCCCAAATGGCCAGCCCACAGAGGACAAGAAGGAACTGTGACCTTGTCTATGGAGACATGTATGGAGAAAGCCTTTCTCCTATCTTCCAAGTGTTGCATGTAGCATAAGTACATACAGTATTATTTGTAGGACTCATGGGATATTAGCTGACATCCGTCACAACTGGAAGTCCTTTAAAGGGGTGCATTCAGAAACTCAGCCGTTCATCAATGTACTTGCTTGATTGCATTTATATGCTAGCACAGCCCACCACTGGTCTGTTACACAAAAGATTACTCAATGTTGGTGTTTCCCACAACTCTGCCTGTGCAATATGTGCTTGACTTTTGGGGAAAGGTGATAAAAGAAATGCACAACATTGCTTCCAAGTGCAAAAGCCATTGAGCAAGCATACCTGTGTGCTCTCACTGATGAACAGGTGAGTTTTAGAAGGTGCCTGAAGTGTTTTATTCTTGGGATTGTATTTATTCAGTTGGGGTGACAGGGGAATCTATAGAATTGTTTCCATTACAGATCTCAGGGATGAAGGATTCTTGGCTTCAGAGATACTTATGCACTCTTTAGGCCTAATATTAATTTTTGGAATTTGAGTCTGACTGGAATTTGATATCAGACTGGGACCTTTCCTTTTCTCTCCTGCTTTGGCCTCTACACTGATTTATACTGATATAAGATTAAATGATTTTTCCCAATGCAAGGAAGAAACTTAAAAGATATAAACCCTGAGTGTAGTAGTAAATTATAGAAGTTATGAATATTGAGGCTCAAACCGTGAAGGTACACCCATATGAAAACATGTTTCACATGTTTTATTGATATAAATTTCTTTTTCTTGTCATAAAAGGAGAAATACATATATATTTTTTGCCAGCATTTAGTTCACTGAAGTTTCTGGGTTTAGAAAGTTATATTACTCTTTCGAATAGTGGCTGAATTGTTGATCCTTGGGCTTGGGATATGCTAGTGACATGGAGAAATGTTACTTTTGAGCTATAGCTAAATTTTGCACTTGGTAGAAAATGGTACAATGTGGGTATATATCTCTTCTGGATAGACTATGTTTCTTTCTTGATTCCATTTATCACATTTTGGCCAATAGAGGACATATAATACTAGAATTGTCTCAGCACTGACATTTTGGGCATTCTCTAATTTTGGGCAATTAAAGGTCATCTCATGGTTCCTAATTGACCTTTAAGTACTGATATTTTGATGCATCACTCCATGTGACTGGGAGGGATTTAGTATCATCTTATTGTAAGCAAACAGGATGTAGTACAGATGATAGTATTGGCTCATCTCATCTAAAGTTGAATAAACTTAGACCTATCAGGGAAACTAGGAAATCCATCCAGTCTTGTAGTACAGTTGTTCTCAACTGGTGGTCCAGAGATCACTGAACTCATGTATGTTCAATGGGAGTAAAAGGGAGGTTGAGAACTACTGTAAAATGTAGTACATTTTTGTCTGTGATTCATATCTATGTGCTGATTGAGGATTTAGTGGAGGCAGTACTTAAAATTAGATAAACATTTCCCTGTGATAAGTCTTGCCTCCTCATGGTGTTTCTTGCAAAGTTTATGCACAATGTTGTGTCCATTTTTCAAAAGACAAGTGGTTTGCTTTAACTCACTTCACCCACCCTATTCCCAGAGTTTCATTATTGATAATGATAAAAATGAAAGTGATTTGTATTACTGGACAATGAATCCCTCTTTTGTCTGTATTAATCAGATTTCCTTTCAGATATTTTTCAAAGTGTTTTTTGGCATTTTTCTATGGCACCATGTAAAATCTTAGAAGCATTCAGCTGGGCTTACCTTTGGGTAAGCAGGGGCCTTTGTGCTCCCATTGCTTCATCAGCTATGAGTGTCTAGTTGCATGAAAATGTGCCAGTATTCCAATATGGCCCTTTTTCTTGGTGTTTTAGCATGCCCATGATGCCTCTTTATTGCCACCATTGTTTGATTTCATACATGCCCATCCATCATGCATATAAGCTTTTAAGCAACTTCACTCTCCTTTCAACTCATTATTGAATTGTTTCATTTCTCCTAAGGGGAAGGGAAGAGGGGCAATGAAAACAATCCAGTTGTTGCTCAACATTCTTAGTTCAGTAAATTCTACTCTGGAGAACTATGCATTGTGCTAGAAAAATTGGGCTGTTGAGAGCACTGCAACTTAGTGAATGCTGCATGAAAAAATCAACAATATACAGTGCAGGGCAGAGGTGAAAACAGCATGGATGGTGGAGGAGAGAAATGGAAGAAAAACATATGTCACAGGATATGGCAAAAGAGAGACCAACAAATTTTTCACTATTACAATATGTCATTGCTCCCATTAAAGCTTTTTTGTGAACCTCTCACATGGATATGTTTCCAGCATATATTCAGAGTTTCTTCTAAGTTCATTACTTTGAAAAAAGGCTATGTGCAATAACTAAAAAGAAGTTGCTTGATGAAAGTGGACTAGAGCTCATAATGGTAGTTAAATGGAGGACATACCCTAATGCAGTGGTTCCCAGAATTCTTTGAATCGTGACCCACTTGCTGGCTTACAGAAAATTTCGTGACCCACTGGAATCCAGAATGAGGTATTTTCAAAGTAATTATGACATGAAGATAACTGATTGACCTTTTCTGCAGGGCATGTTTTATGACTGGGTTTCCAGGGACAGCAACTGTGGATACAGTGATTTTTTATACTAGGAAATTGTATGCGACCCACCTTAATGCCTCTCGCGACCCACAGTTAGGGAACTGCTGCCCTAATGCATTGCTTCCATATCATCCAGACCACATGCAACTTCTCTTCCACTGAAATTCATATTTTTTTTGTGGTCCTTTTCATGGAGATTGGTCAGAAGGAAGCTTTAGAAATGATAACAGATGGATCAAAGTATCAAAAACAGAGTAGGGCAAATCTGGGAATTCCACAACACTCCACTCTATCATTTCCCTGTAAGAACCTCTATCAGTACCCTATCTAGTTTAATGGATAGTGCTATATGTACTGTGACATCACTGTGATCACAGCTCTTTCATCTCAACTGGGTGAATAATGATGTGTGAACAATGGAAGCAAGGTGCTCTTCCTTGCTGAATACCATGCTCTATAGTGAGAGTCCGATTGTTCGACAAGAGTTGAACATTATCTATAAAAATATTTTTTAGGATATATGGTATTGTAGATTGCACCTCCATTCAGGTCTTTGATAGTTTTAGGACCAAGTAAGAGGTAATTGACATGCATAACTCCTTAAGTATCGGCAGTGCAGACGTTGCGGAATTGCCTGATCAGATAATGAACCATTGGTGAATTCCATAACTTCTTGCTGGGACATTTCCTGTATTCTCCTGACGGCAAGGTTTTTAATTGTGCGTTCTTATTGCTCAGTCTTCTGTCATGCTTATGTAGGTCACATCCAACTTCCAATTCATAGTTACCTATAATAAGTTGTGATATTGCCATTTGCAAAGAAATGTGAAACCCCAAAGGTAAAATCAAAAACGCAGCAAGAGCCAGAGGACGAAGGAAATAGCCAATAACAATCAGCAAGAAGGGTAAGACGAACAATAAGTATTTGCAGGAAGATCAAGATGCGGCAATTGACGATACTAAGTTTGGCAGGATGGGCTTATGTTGGACTCCAAAATGCTTGGAGTGCCACGAACAACCATAAAAGATAATAGAGGAGGGTTGGCAAATTATGTTTCAACATTGGAAATCGAGAGTATGAAAATTTCAGTCTTGAAATAAAATAATATATCCAGTATAATTTATGGCACATGTTACAGGTCCTTCCCTTTTTAAACACACCTTGAGGCCCCCACTTTCCATTGCCAAAAAAAAAAAGAAAAAACAAAAGACACCCTCTACTTGGGAATTTTGGAGATGTCCTTTTTTGCTTCATTCGGTTGAGATGTTTTCTTTTTTGTACTCTTTACCTGAATTCTTGGTAAATATGAACATGGGAAGAACTATTATCCATCATTGCCAAAGTTAAGGGCCTGAAAACTAATAACTTCACCCTTGAAGGGCAAGGGGGCATGTAGAAGTAAGGGTTGCAGTATTCCCAGAATAGTGTTGCAACTTTAGTAGAAGGGTTGCGGAATTAGTCAAATGCTCATTGGGAAGGACGATCACGACAAAATCTAACTCTGGAAATTCTGAGAGAAATCCTTCTGTGCTTTGAGTCATCCAATTTGTCTTTTCCTCAAGTTACATTGAAGGTTTAATACAATATGGTCCTGTGCACACAGACGTTGTCAGCTCCAGTGAAACCAGGGAAAAAACAGTTGGGGATCCAAAGTCATTGCAGAATTCACAGATTTGCCCTATGCTCAAAAATTATTCAAATTTCCCTTGGTCTTTGGAGAGTGAGCCTGGAGGATGAGCATCTCACCTGCCCTTTTTCAATTTGATTTATTTTATATAATAGCCCATTGTAACATTTTGGCAATATCAATTTAGATACAATATTAATTCAGAACTTCCCTCGTCTTTTCCAAAAGTGTATATATATATTGATATGCTCCATCTACCTTTCTTAGAAACAACTAGTAAGCAGAAAATACTGGTTAAAAGTCAATGCTACTTTTTTTTTGCCACTCTGCATGCATAAAAATGTCTGGTGTCTGTGAACAGTTTTATAACTAAATTTGAATTGGAGCCAGATTTGATTGAGATGAGGTGGAATGGTCTTCTGACTTGATGAATTATTCATTTTATCAGACCTAGAATGATTGCCAAAAACCTCATAATGATTCATTTAGATGATTGAAGATTTATTAATTTTGTTGGCAGTCATTTCCAGTTTGTCATATCAAAAGCAAATGCAACCTGCTATGAATTTCTTCAGCCACCCTAGGATTTTATGGTAAAGTAAATCTATTTAGTAAGTCCTTTTCAATGGAATAGTCTTTAAAGAAAAAGGACCTGTTGGATGAATTGCAAGACAAATAAATTTTACCCAATGGTTTGGCATGCAGATGCCTGAGAGTCAGGGAGGCATGGTGGAGACAGAAGATGATACAGAATTACGTGATCTCATCTCCCATGCCCTTGAAAGCAATGGAGTATTATCCAAAATCAGGGTAAGTCCTACATATTCTTTGCTAATCTGATTTTAAGTGTTTGTCAATACTTACAAATTACCAAGTCACCCATTATGCCAAATTTTGGATCTCTTTGGAACAAGTGGATTTTTTTATGCATTCCATTGTCATGAAATGTTGGTAAAGGTGGTTTTGTCCTATTGACTAGAGCCATAGAGTAGCAACAAAATTTGGTGGAACATGTCAGGCTACAGTTTCATGAGTTGTGGGAATGTTGACACAGGCACAGTTGCGAGCAAGTGTGTTCCTAGCTTTGGACCACCAGGCTGATCTGAAAAAGAAGATACCTTTGGGCAATTTGGCACTTGAGGATTTTTGGCAGACTTCTGCTGGCCCCCTTGTCCTGTCTTTGGTGCGGGAATTCCTTGAGTACTTTCAGTTAGAGTTCACATTGTCTGTGCTGGATCCAGAGGCCAGGAGCAATGGGACTGATAAGGCCTTCCTCTCCAGAGAAAGGCTCTCCCAGCAACTTCATCTTGATTCAAGTTTGTTTCCTTTCACAGTTTGTCTTCATGTATGTTCCATCATTCCACGAAGGTGGAAAGCTGGAGGTTTGTCCTTCATTCTTACTCATGGTATCTACTTTTTTCTTATTTCCCCAGAGAAGAGGGAACCACTTCTGTGTCAAGTGCTCCAGCAGACAACATCTGATGCTAAGTTATCATCACCAAATGCTGCTGTAAGTTTGAGTTTGCATCTGCAGTTCTCAAATGTGTAACTTTTCAAGCCAGCTATTTTTTAAACCGCAGGTTGCACAGCTGTCATCCTTGGAGAAAGGGAGAGGTACAGAAGAACCATCTTATAGTGCAAACTATGAGCCTGCATCCCAGGCCACAACAGCAGATGAGTTGGAAGGATCGACATCAGCAAATGATGCCAGTGGGGGTAGTGTTGTCTGCACACAGCATAGTGAAGCCCTCATTAGGTCCAGTCTCTCAAATGGAATCCAGAAGACAGATGAGGATGATTTTTTCTCACAGCTCCCTGAAGAACCTGCAGATTTCTTCAGGTCAGTGTTGGATTGATGAAAAAATTTTACTCTTCTAATAGGTTTTCTATCTCAGAGGGTAAGTTTCACTGAGGGCAGTTTATAACATCATCCAATAGTACAGGGTGTTTGGAAAGTTACTCACTATTTTAAAGTAGTAACTTATTTATATTTATTGAATGCCTATGTGAAGGAAATACTGTCATGAATTGAAGTGGGGTGTTCTGTGGATGGGGCCAGGGCATGCTTGTTTAGCCATGTGATGGCATCAGTACCAGTGGCATGCAGAGTCCAAAGGCCACCATGGAGGCAAGTCAATAGGCAGTCATTGACTATGTGCGACATTGTTTGAGGCTCACCGCATTCGTACAGCGGGCCATCAAGCAGTCCCCATTGGTGGTCATTAGCTGCACAATGCCCATGACCTGTCCGGAAGCAATTTAGAAGGATTCACAGTTTCCTTGGAAGGTGAAAGCCTGGTGGTTTGACCGAAGGGTCGTCAACTATCTGGTGATTTGTCACCATTGACTTGGACCACTCCTTGTGTCAGCGCTGCTCCATTGACACAGCTTGGCCTGTTGGCAAGATGGTCCAGAGTGGGTGTTGGGTGTCAGGATGGGAGACGATTGGTTGGTGGATCAAAGAGGTCAAAGTGAAAAGGCAAGGCAGGATTTGCTTTCACAAGAGTCATCTTTGTGGTGGTAACCTCATGGCATAGTTGCAGTGCGGCTGTGTGACTGTGTAACACAGAAAGCCACAGGACAGGTGTGGATCTTAACACTCCAGAGATGGTACGCATTGTTGTGTTCAGCTGGACATCTGAGTTTAAGATGCGAAGACTGTGCCCAGACCAGAGCACAGAATTCCGCAGCTTATTAACATCACAATGGCTGTAGTTTGCAGGGTATGTGGTTTTGCTCCCCATGTCAAGCCAGCTAGTTTGCTGAGAAGGTTGTTCTGAGTTTTCACATTAGAGGCTGTCTTTTTTAGGTGTTGTCAGAATGTCAATGTACGATCAAGGGTCACCCCGAGGTACACTGGATTTGGATCATGTAGCTGTTGTTGGTCATTTAAGCTCACAGCAAGTTTGCATCTGGTGGAGGCATGGTGCAGGTGGAACACACTGGACACTGTCTTGGTCGTACTTGGTTGCAATCGCCATTGTCAGCAATAGTTTGCAACTGAAGCCACGTCTTTGTTCAAGGTAACTTCTAGGTTGGAGAAGTTGTGTGATTGGAATCCAAGACAGATATCATCCGCAAAGATGAACTTGTGTGATTTCTTTGGGTGTCATTGTTAAAGATGAAGAGTAGGGGTGAGTACAGAGCCTTGGTGTAAACTGTTGCATTGCAGCCTCCAGGAACTGACACAGTCCTCCATACAAACTTTAAGTTGATGGTTGCGAAACAGTAGCTCCGCTGAATTAACCACCCAGTGTGGTAACATCCTTGATAGCTTGGTCAACAAACCAATGTGCCAGATAGTGTCATAAGCTGCTGTCAGGTCAAGGAAAACTGCACCTGTCTTCAGTCTGTGCTGAAACCCCATTTTTGTTGAAGGTGGATGAAGGTGGCCATGGCAGAAGCCAGCCTGATCAACACTCAACTAGGTGTCCACTAACTGTGATTTGTTGGGAGGATGAGCCATTCCAGCAACTTGTAGCAGACACGGAGCAGAGATTGGTCTATAGCTTGTTGCACAGAAAGGATCTTTGCCATGTTTTGGCAAAGTAACTATATTACTATGATGGTGACAAGCGGTTACATGCAATAAGTAGCAGTGAAATAACCTAGTGAATGGTCTGAGCCAGAGACCATACCAATATACAAGCCCAATATGTTCTTGGACAAAGAGTGAAAGTGTTAATAAATGTTTATTATTGGTGACTTAATACTACTTAATGACTACTTGTATTTAGGTGGGATGGACTTACAGATAAACTTTGACTGATTTCCAATATCTGATTCTGCTTCACCTGACCTGGCTAGTACCAATAATCAATACTTAATTGGTCTACCTAATAGCAAGTATTTTTATAAATACTGAATTTAAGGAATATTAGAAAATCCAATATTTATTGTTGCCTCATCTAGATGTATAATGTCGGCCATCTTGGCTTCTCAAATGGAAAGTAAAACCACCAACCTACACAATCACGTGAATTAGAATTTAAAAAAAAACAAATCCCAAGCAAACCAAATCACAAAACAAATAGTGAATTTCATGATTTCACTAACCAAAAAAAAAACTTACTCTTCAATGCAAAAAAAGTCCATAGATCACATTGGGCATAGACTATGGGGACTTACTCTAGCCAAGCAGGGTATTTTGTATACTTTGAATCCTTCAACATTGTCATTCACTTAGTCCAGCTGCAGTTTCACCATGCACTTACACCCCATTCCCATGAGGAAGTGCAAGGGAATGAGTGCCAGTCAGCTTATAAATCCATTCACTTAGGCATTGAATGATGTTGGAATGGTTTCAAGAGTATGTCTTACACATTCTTGCAGACCCTCCAAGTGTGCACCATGCAAAATGCCATCCCCTCCCATCATCCTTCAACCATCACTTCCAGTAGAACCACACTTCCACATGAATCCATGGACATGTGGAGTTGTATTTTCCTCACACAAGAGGAAGCAAGACTCCTGTGTGGTGGGATTAGGACTCCCATTTTGTATCAATTGGAAATGAAAAAAAAAATTCATATAGATTGTGGACTGAGCTAGAAATTCTCATTTTCTATTACCACCTCACTGACAAGTGAAAACCCCTTTTTTCATGATAAAAAAGTGTGATGTGCGTTTGATGCGGTAAATCTCCACCAACCTGCAGTGCTTGGCAAGGATGTTTAAGGGCATTTAAATCCTCAGCAGTCAATGTGTTTAAATGTTTTGGAGTACATAGGTTGCTGTGAATGGAATACTGCATCAATATGAAGCATATTTCCTGAATTTATTAGAAACCAGATGCCAGAGCAGGGATAAAACTCCTGGCAGTGAAAGTGTTGAAACTAATGACATGCAGAAAGTAGGCCCTGTGAAGACTCCTTATTTAACATGTACATTTTACTAGTGAGTTTGTTTGCCCTTTGGGCAAACAAACTTGCTATTGTTATGCCTTTCATGCCCCATTCCCAGGATTGTGATTCATTCAGTAATTTATTTTAGAAGTGTCAGAAACGCATTAAGAATATGTGTCCGGAATGTGTATCGAGGGAGAACAAACCGATATTTTCCTTGGAATAATTACTCCCATTGTTCCTTGTGTGCCTAACTTCAAATCTCTTCATAATCTGCCCTGAGAGGGCATATTTGAAAAGTAAGACATGTACTCAGCAATCAAGCAGGTACTTTGCTCCAAGTTTCAATTTTTTTTGTTCTCTACTTCATTGAATTAGAAAAGTTTCCGAAAAATGCACCTTTTGCAAAAATATGCCCTCAAGGTGTTTTCCTAAAAATTAACATTTTTACAGAAATAAGTTCTCGGAGAACTACGTGCACACCAAGTTTCAGCCTTATCTTTGGAAAATCCAACATGGCCAAAAGCTGTGCCATGGGGGGGGTATGCACCACAAAACCTGCATTTTTTCTGAACTCACCATGACCTTAGTTATTGCTGTGCCAAGATTCACATTTCTATCTCTGTACAATTCAGTGGGGATAAAAATTTTTTTTGTATATGTCACCCCCCCCCCCCAAAATAAAAAAAAGCCCTCAGGACATGTATCCAAAACTAAACATTTTTCCTGAACTCAGTCTCAGTAGGTACGTCCATGTCATGCTTCAGCTTTCCATGTTTATCTGTTTGACTGAAGCAAAAAGAAATATTTGAAAACAACTCCCCCAGAAACTTGTGCCCCCAGGGCACTCACCTCCAAAGATGGAATTTTTAGTCATTCAGGTTCCCAATAGGTACTTGTGTATCAAGTTTCACCTCTATTTCTAGCCAATTCAGTAGGACTAAAAAAAAGTATATGAAAACGTCACTCCCCAAAATTATGCCCCCAGAGTATGCATCTGGAACTTGAAATTTTGCATGAACTTTGTGTCTCAGTATAAACAAATATATATCATTGAAAGCATCTCCCCCAAAAATGGGTGCCCCAGGGTATGTACCCCCAAATTTGGATTTTTTTCTGAACTCTGCATCCCAAAAGGTATATGTTTATTAAGTTTTAGAAGTCTGACTTCTCTAGAGCATGGTTAGAATTAGCGTCAGTCAGTCACGATGGTCTGTATATATTAGATGGCGATTGAAACATCCTATGATACAACATGTTGTAAACATTGAAGTTTCATGCTTCAGGAAACTCTCTTCCTCCCTGAAACTGGGTGGAAATACCAGCACAAATGTCATCAAGCCACCTGATCTCATTACTGGACAAGCGAATCATCCAAAAGAAAATGTGAACACTAGGACAGAGGAATTGGAAAGGAGAGATGAGACTAGTGCAAGCATCAGTGAGGAAATTGAAGAAGATCTCTCTGGCATAGATGATCTTCTCAACAGCACCAAATCTGGCGTGAGTAATGAAAGCATATAAATTTCACGGTTATAGCTTTTCAAGTTCCTAGTAATCAGTTTTAATGCCATTTTCTAGTTGGATGAGTTTACTGGATTGGAAACTGTGTCTCAAGCAAGTGGTGCAGACATTGACTACATGGAGAGCCTTTGATGTAATATTTTGGAATGTGTTGATCTCGTCTATCAACAAAACATTCTGGCAATTTTTTTTAAATATCTTTGTTGAGTGTATCACTTGATCCCATCAGTGTAGATTTGACAATGCCATTCTAGTTGTATAGAAGTGACAGTCTTAAATAGTTCTACCCAGCAATGCAATGTGTTTGCATATGTTCTCATTTCAGACCAGAGGATGTTTTGAAGAGATTGTTTGCTAGGTTCTAGTCCATAGTGCCATTTGCAATTCCTTTGCTTGTCTGAATCTCTTGACCATGAAAAATGTGAATTGGAACTTTACCTATTGCACTGAAATCTGATGTGATGGTTTTATATGTAGAACTGCTGTGATGTAAGTTGAGCAGTGCATGTGCCATATCTCATGAGGTTCCGTCCATCTGTTTTCCATTGCTCATGGGAGGTTGCAGTTATGAAGTTGTAGCATGTTTCTTGCATAAAGATTCCTTGGAAATGAACTGGTACACTGGAGAACAATTCATTCATGACCACTCTCTAAACATTTCTATGCAAAAGAGGCAAGTAAAAATTAAGTCTAGATGTCAGAAACCCATCTTGCCCCTTTCTCTCTGCAGACGATTAGCATAAGTCCGTGACACCACATTCCAAGTATCCATGTATCGGTCCATGCACATTGATATGCACCTCTGCAAAAAAAAATTTGGTTAAAAGCAACAATGTCAGGTTTCCATTCATAAGAGATTTAAAGCCTCACTTGTTCGTAGGAGTCTAAGGATGTGCCTGGCTTGCTGATGCATTTCTTGAAGCATTTGTCTGACATCCGCTGGAAATATTGATAAAAAGGCTCAACTTATCCCAATGTTAGGCATACTGGTTTACACAATACTTATGTTCAAGGGAGACGTTTGGAGTCACCTGTAAGAGTTCCTGTGCATTGGCAATGGCTATTTGTTGTTTGACTTGGTCCATGATTTCATCCCTCTGACTCCCAGAAAGGGCCCCACCTGGGACATCTAACCCACTGAGACTGCTGTTACCACCACCTCCATCCATTTTCTTAAAGACTTCCAAATGTATACCTGTGCCTAAAATAGGCTTTCTAAGTGTTTTTGAGGAAAAATGACGCAAAACAGAATTAGTCAAACATTTGGATCTTCATTTAAAATTTGTCTACATGAAAACTATGAAGGAGTTTTTCAGTTAATTCCTACTGCTAGTTAAATAGATGCTATATATCTCACAAGAATGAAGAACCATGTAACTTCTTATTTGCATTATGGGTTGGCTTAATGTACTATACAGTTATGCCAAAGAGCTTCAAGATATGTTTTTTGTATTTTCTACAAAAAAAAAGACTTAATATCCCTAGCAACCAATAATGAGAGTTCTCTAATGATGCTAATGCAATTGAGAATTTTTAGATGATCTAATGATCACTGTCACTTTGTGGTGATGTTCAGGCAAAAAACAGCTTGCCTGACACGGGGATGAATTGGCTATGAAAATAAGTTTTTTTTTTTTTTCATTTTTACCATGCCTGCCAAAGGCAGGGAGCATGTCAACAGGTAGCAAATGCAAAGTTCAACATTAAAGAAGGAGCATAATCAAATATGATATAACATCAACCAAGAGTCCATGGCTGACCACTATTATGTGAATTTCCCTCATTGCTAGTTTCTTCACATCAGGCAACAAATTTCTGTATTACCTGTGTATAACATAGCTCTGTGATAAGATTGTGTTCTGTTTGACAGGTATAGATAGGCATGGTTGCTGAGTTCCATTTTGGTTATGACAGTGTATTATGAAACACATTGCTATACTGTAAGAATTTTGTATCTTGCCTCAAATGATAAAAATGTCAGATGTACTCCTCTATTTAGCCTGTATCTATTCTTCACAGTTTACCTTTGCATATGTGACCATAACGTTGAGGTTGACATGCACTACTATCTGGAAGGCTTGGCACAAAATCTATCATTCATCAGCCTCTATAAATTTCAAATGCATCTGACAGTCCCTTCCAAAGTTATGACCAAGCAAAATTGAGTGGTTCTATGAAAAAACCCTGTACATACACTTATGTAGTGATTTAACCTCCAAAGCGTTTACCCTGAGACAGTCTTGGGGTGGAAGGGAGGGTCCTATCTATAATATGTTCAATATCCCACACAGCAGAGTGATATCCCAGGGATGTCCCCAACTGGACAACTTGTCCCAAGGTCCTTATGGGCATCCCAAGAGAGATGTCTTTGGGACATCTTAGAGACATCTTCAGTTGAATTCTTAAAGATTTCCTGAAAGGGATATCTCTAAGACATCCTTAGTCAAATGCTTCTGGATATCCTGTAAGGGATGTATTTTAGATATCTTCAATCATCTTGATCACTTTCAGTAAGGTGCATAACTTTTATGGTAGATGTCTCTTGCATACCTAATCTCCAACCTCAGATCTTTTATATAAATTTTATCAACTTTATTTGTATTTTTATTTGTATTTCCATCCTTCTTACCATTACTAAGTAATGGTAAGATGATTGGTCAAGAATTTAAGGCTGGGGAGTCCTAGAAGATCAAATAGATATCTTGGAAAATAAAGGTTTGGCCTATATGACAGGAAATGAGTCCATTTCAGAAAGAAAGGCTGGCAGATATTTTTATATCACTGAGATGTCTGCAAATAGTATCTGAGACTTCTCACTTGTCCCAAGGTGATATCCCTGGGATATGCTTATTCTGCAAGAAAGGGACATCCTTGGGATGTCTTTGTGCCCAGACATTTGATATCCCAAAGATGTCCCTAGTAGTTGCCTCTGGGACTTCTCACTTGTTCCAAGGGGATATCTCTAGGATGTACTTGTGCTGTGTAAGATATTTCCAACAAAGTAAATTAAAAAATTCCCATTATGGTTATGTATGCATTGTACACATGTCATGAATGATAACTTTGACAAGACAATGAAGACATTGGCAAGAGAAAGAAAGAATGCTGGAGTGAAACCAGTAAAGTAAAAAAAAAGAGCACTAAGGAGGTTAAAAAACAACCTGAGCCTGTGGACATTTTAATGTCAAACTATTCAAGATTAGAGGATGTTATTTTTCAATATTAATAAAAATGAATGAAGAAAGGCATTATCCTGCACATTTTCATCTCAATGGGATACAAAGGTTGTCAACAGCCTCAGTGTAACTACAGTTCAAAATTGCCCCTTCCACAGGAACCAGTGGTATCATTTGCTGAATTGCTGAGTCCTTGCAACAGGCTATCTCTGGCACTGATGAAGGGCAGTTGTAAGAGAGTATGTGCTATGCCTTAATTGGCAGCCATAAATTGGACATGGCATTCTTCAGGCTATTGACTGCTTTTCATCCTGCTGAGCTTAATTCACAGGTCAAGTGCAGAATAAATTTTTCCCTGAGAATTTGGAAAATGCATCCTCTTATTAAAAAAAACAGTTTTATGTGTAAAAAATTAACATCTACTGGCTTTTTATACTTTTTAGCTCATCTTGCATTACTCATGGGGTTTACCATCAAGTAAGATATCTAGGGGTGCCATAATCTAGGTGACAAGTCAATTCTAAGGATTGTTCTCAGAGGGCTCTGCATAAGGCTGTCATACAGGTGTGGGAGAGGATAGAAAGGCTGAAAAGAATCAAAAGATCTGGCTAGAAATTGGATCCACCACCTTTGGATCCTTCGACTGCCCATCATACAGGGTGTATTCCTTTCTGTTCCACATTATCACTTATAGTGACAATGCAAAGACATGATCATTGAGAGCACTTTGCCCACTATGTATATTGAAAAAGTTGCAAGAAGTAAGTTTTTAAAGAACATATAGAGCAATGGAAGACAGGTTAACACAAGGTGGAGAGTTCAAGTCCCACTTGCTATGCAGAAAATAAAAGAAAGTCCAAGAAATATAGATTCTGAGCAATGCATGTTCATAACTCATAACTTTCAAGCACCCTGAAAGTGAGATGCTCAAAAATTGTCCTCACCATGTGGCAAACATTGTTCCTCAGATGTGTCTCATGCCATGAAATGCTATCTTTGAAAAATTTCACATAAATAGGTCATTTAAAGAAAGGAGCAGAAAGTTCAGGTACCCCAGAATGGAAAGGATAGATGGTTTTACAGTCACTCCCATCAGTCTGCGGAGCCCCAACCAGGTTGATACGAAACAATTTCAGTAGTTTTGAACCATTCTGAAAGATGCTCAACATTTTGTCATTTGTGCCTGTCAATATGCAATATAAGTGAAACTGAAAAACTCAATATATCATCCTTCTGTATTTTTGTATCCAAATCCTCACAATTCATGGAACTGATGATAGCAACAGATTATGTGCACAAAATGCAACCTGTCTAAAATGATGGCTCATACACAAGGGAGTCCCTCATTCATTCACTTCAAGTCTAAATCCCAAGCACCTAGGGGTTCTGAATTTGTTACCCACAAAAGTAGTATATGCTACCTCTGTCAGTGTATTCGTATACAGCCACAAGTATCACTGACTTGTTATTGATACAAGTATCACTGACTTGTTATTGCCCTATTTTGTGGAAGCTTTGTGAATTGGCTACCAGTCAATCTAAGAAGGAGCACATGGAAAAAATTTTTCATCTGATAAGTAGGCTATATCTCTTTCAATATTAGGAGTGACCAATACAGATTGCTCAATCATCCAATGTGAGCAAAAAATTACCAAATACTGGACTAACATCAACTCTTACCAAATACCTACTACAAAATGGGTGATCATGAGGCAGAAGGGGTGAAACCAAGGAGAGCAGAGCAAGCAAGTACTATTATGAAAATTCATCAATCATCATGGCTACGTTCATGGAAAATACATAATGGCAGTGTCTATTGGCTGAACTGGGAATCGTGGCCTCTAACATCACATCAAACATGATGAAGCTCTGCCAGCCCACCAAACATGGACAATCATTTCAAGGTATGTGGATCATTCCAAAAGTTTCTTTGACTCTTGCTGTATTGTTACCTTGTAAATTAGGGGCCTAACATTTTCAAGCATTAGTCTATGACTCATCATGATATCTTTCCTTATTTCAGATATTTGTCAGCTATCCTAACGAGGTTATTGCTGGAGTTGAATCATGTCTACTTTTGACTGTTTTTACAACAAATCATTCAGTCAGGATTACATCTGGACAATCATTAAATTCTACATGCTACTGGAAAAATCTAGGAGACTGTGTGCCATCTATCCAAACTGTCTGATATTGATAGTCAGTTTAACCCTTTCGCTGCCGTTCACGCCATATGGCGTGATCAGCGCGATGAACATCCACTGCCATGCTAGGCTAGGAGAGGTTGGATGGGCATTTAGGTCCTCAGCAATAAAAGGGTTAAGGGGGATTGCACATCAACAGATGATGCAAGTTGCTCTGGTTGTCCTGTCAAAGCATTCTCCGAGCTTGGTCATATGGAGATTTTCGGTAAGAACACAGAACACCATGGTTTTAGACATGCCCAGTCAGTCAGCAAGCTGCTCACATGTCTGCCCTCTGTCTTCCTCAATGGCTTCACGAACATGAGCCGCCATATCCTCAATGGATGTTTTGACAGGATGACAAGAGCGACTTGCATCATGTGTTGATGCATAACCCTCCTTGAACTTATGGTACCAATGTCAGACAGTTTGGATAGATGGCCCATAGTCTCCTAGAGCCAAAGTGAGCTGCTCGTGGATTTTGGGGCAAAATTTTTCCAGGAGCACATAGAATTTAATGATTGTCCTGACATCATCCCAACTGAATGATTTGTTGTAAAAACAGTCAAAAGTAGACATGAGCAATAACCTCTGTTAGGATAGCTGACAAATACGAGGGCTGTTCTGAAAGTTTTTAGTTAACTAAAAAAGGCCAATAATTTTGTTGAATTATATTTATTGTTTTCCAAAGTAGTCTCCCCCAACACTAATACACTTATTCATTCTTTGAAACCATTTGTCAAAACAAGTTGAAAATGCTTCTTTTGGCAGGTCCTCAAACAGGCTTGTGAATTCCGCGACGATTGCATC